AACGGCTGCCGTATCCTTTGCTGCGGATCGTTCGTTCGAAAAAACTGCGGAACAGTGGACGTAGTGTAGCGACATTGCCGACGATCATACCGATAGCGTTCTCTGCAAACCCCCAGATAACCACGTTGGCAACGGCAAAGAGAAAGTCGGCTTGATTGGTGAGGTTAACCGTGTACTTGAGCCGAATACAGGCGGAAAGAGAGGCCCTGCTATGTTTTAGTGTCTCATTGTTCAACCGGTTTAGCGAAAAGCATTCAACAGCTACATACAGTATACCCAAGCCCATCAGCCCGATGATAGATACTTTCGTATTGCGGTCTAGCTGGACATGCCACAGTAAGGGGATAGGCCTAATCTCCAGGTCAGTATTTCCATTCATTCAAAGACTGGCGTACGATTTGTGACTAACATTAAGGCCGTAACCCAGTCCGTGACTATGTTCACCGCAGTGGTCGCGTAGTATATGTCAGTGAGAACATGAGCGGGTCGGCAGGAAGCCCCTTTCTCAAGAAGCTCCGGTTTCCACGCAGCCCTGGAACTTTGTTTTAGCAATGTGGCTTGTGGGACAGACAGGGTATGTTGATCGTACTCAGGCGGGGTGCAGTTGATGAGGATGAATACCAAGGCAACCAAATTCATCGTCGCAAACATTGCAATCACACCGTACTGGATATTGATGTATAACTTCCGCCCCTCAGCCACTCGAATTAGCATCCAGCTGATGCTGAACTTGATCGGAATGATCGCGGCTACGTATCCAACTTCGAAAATGAGGAAGTACTAGAGGGTCGATTAGCGTCAGGCTGATGGTCGAGCATGGTGGATATATAGAACCTTCTGGCCTTCAGCCTGGTACTTTTGATTCTCAGGCTCATTCAACAGAGAATTATGAACACCAATCCCATTGAACGCGCCCCCAAGGCAGCCTGCCGTGAGCACACAGAAGGGTATCTGTTTTTGACGAAAAATGTCAGTTGGGCTCCTTGGTAAAGCGCTCTGAAGGGGGCATTTACCACTGCGGAGGTCATAAGCCAATCTTCTGCGCCCCAAGAGCTCCTGCTCAGTCTACAATAGACTCGCAGAGCATAGGTGATAAAGGCCACCACAGTAAGCATGATGACACTCCCGGCCACATGTGGCGCATCGTCAGCGAATATGGCCATGGTCCACTGTCAAGTCACCGTCAATCGGCATAAGGAGGGTAGTTCTTGTGTGATAGAAGAAAAACCATGATCAAAGAGAAAAGAAAAAGTCGAGACGCGATGCAAAAACCGCCACAGATAAGTTTCCCCGCCTCCTCCTGTGGAGATTGGAGGCTCAGAATGCCATTTGGGTACTCCGTACATGACTCGAGTCGACTTCGATTTCACTTTTGCGTTTTGCTTTCAAGGCGTGATTAGGAATAGACAAGGTGCTCCACTTGAAGCAAAGTGGACCCCATTAGCCTCTGCCATCGCAATTAAATATCGACGATCATTACAACCGCTGGGCCGCTGGCAATTCCGACGGCAAGGTTTTATAAAAAGGATGGAATTGATTGCCTTTTGTCGATCAGCAATCTCCGCTGTCCAACAGCATTATGATGGCTTTTCAATCAATAGCCTTGGACTCATTATCTACCATACTATGCATAGTCAAGAGGGTAGATAGATAGATGCCTTGCTGGATTGAATTGTATCCAGAGCTCTGTCAAAAATCTCGAACCTCCTCCCCGAAATGCTCGGAAATCGTTCCTCCGTGCCAAGCATGTCTATTGATCCCGAACACTTCAGTCTAAGTCGTCTAGTCTGACCTTGCCGCTTCTGCTGCGAGGACAATGCGCAGGATTTATTCGAGAAGACCAATGGAAATCCGCCTAAAAGGAGCCTCTGCAGGCTGCGAAATGCCGGCCGGAGAACAACAAGCTAAATTTGCCGACCGCTAATTTGCCACGACGGTAGTTTTGCCCCCTTTTCTTTCCCACACGTAAAAGTGGAGAGCAAGTGGATTTTGTTTAGCCGGGGATGTTCCGATTAAATATCCGTTTTGGGAGATTTGAGAGCTTGAACTTTGAAGCCCTAATAGTAGTGGGAGGCGGACTTCAGAGACTATGACCAAGTAGGATGGCGCTGAAAAAAATAAATAAAATAAAATAAATAAATACCAAAAAGAAAAAGAAGAATTTCACAAATGAGAAAAATAAAAGCAAAAAAGCTGTCATTTTTTCCGATTCGACCATCCTTCGACAATCAGCATGTTTCAAAATTGTTGCTCATGAAACCCTAACGGCTGATTCCGGCTGACAACCAACAGCAAAAAGTTAGCCATGGCATATCACATTCCTGATCCGGAGTAGACTCCTGTCAGTCTGAATCAGAAGCTTCACAACAAGTGGATAACCTCGGAAGGTGAACCATGGGAATCCCGAGGGAACACGAGGTGCTAGCGCTACTGTATGAGGGAAAACAGAGGCTAGTGTTCCCCGGTGTAATACGTCCAATAACCTAGGGTGATAGGCGCAAGATAGTTTCCCAGCCGCGGCCCACAACTCCCCGCGCACGCCCGCACGCTGCTACTATTTTCGACAATCGCCAATCGCTAAAGAAGACGCAAGTCTCCCAACGCTCAAGTAAGGAGCAAAATATTCAAGGGACCAAGGGGAAACGCTCAAAAGGGGATCAATTGAGTTGGCTGTGCGGCATTACTCCCTTCGATTTCGACTTCTATGCTTGACGATCCACCCAACAGGCCGGATCAGCTGCTGCTGCAGGCATAGTCAATTCTCCCCTCCCCATAAATAATATCGGAATTGACTTCCTGATAATCGGGGAGGAAGTCACACGGACTAGTACGTCGTAGCCAAGAACCCAGTCAGGGGGATAGATCGAAAGCTGCTAAGGATGGGTGAAGCAAAAGAACGGGTGGCCTAGGCGAGATTGAACTCCGTTTAAAACCGAACTAGTGCTCTATTCTTGTCCTGTTGAGCACAGCTCAACAGAGCTCCTCAAGGCTGAAGTCTATCGGTGCTTCTAGAACCCTATGAATTTGAATCTTTGAGGATCTGTTGCCACCTTAAAGGCGACCGTGGACTTTACTTCTGATATTCTCATGAGTACTTAATACCTGTAACATCAAGTGATACGGGATAATGTTAGCTACTCGCAAAAACAAACAATTTAACACGCGATCTCGCCAAGACTAAGGCTAATGAGTTCTAGCGAAGGAATAGCGAAGAACACAGTATGGACTGGAATAGACATGATACTGCACCGATACACCTGGTCGGCACTAGATTGCCGGTGTCAGTAGTCCATCATAGTTATTGGGCCTATAACCTTGGTTTATTTAGCTCGGTAAAAACTAATCTGTCAAGATCAGGGCAGTCTTCCTGAGTCATGTCGGTTCTGCCACATATAAATAGTTCCCCCTCTGCTCCAGGGTAATTACCATATCCCCTACAAGGATAGACTAGGGACCCAATGTATTATTACAAAGGCACATAGTAGATCTGTAGCGTAAACCCCCATTCGTACTTTAGACTAGTCATGCAATGCGTGTAAATATCGGGTTTCTAACCCTAGAGAGATGCGGTTGGCATCTTTCACATGTTTTACCACTACTCCTACGGTCAGTGCGACAGCTTTAAAGCTAGCAAGGATAAGGACGCGTTGCATATGGACCGAGGAAGTAGTTGTGGTGAGATATAGCCGGTGTGCATCCAATAAATTGCCCGGCCACTTTAAGTGCATAGGTGCATAAGTTATGCATAAGTCAAATGTTGACAGTCTCAAGCTCGATGATCAACAAGCGCAGACGTTGGCTTCAAGGTTCGGAGAGTCTAATTTAATATAAATTGAGAAACTTAATTATGTACTTCCTTCACATCCCTCGAATTGATCCATGTGAACCTCCCAGTCACTCCTTCATAGTCAGTATAATCAATGTATGCCGCAAATGTCGATCAGTTCGGTCCAAAACTAGGGCTGGCCTCAGGCGAAACCTATTCTCTATCACACTTCCGGTGCACCGAAGGTTCAATTTACTTGGGACAACGAGTCGGTTTTCCCCTCATTACGTCCTGTAGCCCCGAGACAAAAAAAAACTCCACCAATAGTAAAATAATGTTGCTTTCTTTACTCAAGCTATCGGCTACTTAGACTATCCTAGACGAACAAATTCAATGCTATCTAGCCATACCTATACTGTATCAAGCATCCAGTTTCTGTCTATCCCTTGAACTGAGCAACTTGCTTCTATTCGCTTCTTCTGACACCGTTTCCAAATGGCCTCAAGCCGCTGGTCGAGCTTCACAAATGACTGGAAGGCTGGCGGATGATGGAAACACTGGATATCCAATCTATGGTCATTCTGGCTACAGCTTCCTACACGGTACGCCACCCGAACAACGGTTTGATTGTGGCATTTTATCTAATTGAAGTCACAAACCTTTTTGCATGCTATCTACAATCTCACGATGACTCGAGTTTCAGCTCGCCGTCCCATTCATCCAGTAAACCAAAAAGCATTCCATAGGGACTTTGATGGTTCATCTTCCGCAGAGATCCATACACTTTCCGTTCTTGATAGGCTATCTACATATCAGCCTTTCATCGGATTGCATCTTAAGAATGGCCCTCTTTTAGCGTGTTAAACAACCTCTTCTGGTAGAATATTCCTTGAGAAGCTTCGCAAGGTCCATGCGTCGGTTGGGGAACGAGCTTGATAATATACAAGAATAAGATGAATATGTTATGTGCGTTAGTAAAAGGATTAGACTATCTTTTGGGGTCCTGCATATACTGCGTTGTGGGCATTTATCTCGATTCTGGAGCTTGTTACATAGACTGCTGAAGGGCTGAGACAGAATGAGCCTGGTTTCGGACAAGTACACCGCCACACCTCTGAGCCTGATGAAGCTGTTACCAACCGGATACCCTAACGTGTAGGCTCATCTAGAAATCAGTCGCATTCTGTGGCCGTGCTCTGGTAATACCTACAGCAGCGCACTTGAACGAAAAAGACTAGAATCCCCAACTATCCAGGTACTTTCCCAGCGTTATCTCAACTTCCTTGCGAGCTTCTTCTAGCTGCTCGGGAGTCTGAATCTCTAGGATAGTAGGGTCAAACAAGTGCCACGGCACGAGGTCCTGGATCAACCAATGAACCCGAGAGAAAGCATCTGCCCCGTCAATTGTTGACGACCGCAGCGCTCCAACCTGGGCTAGTTGAGATGGAAATTTTGGAAAGACCATAGTCGAGCAAGGCGGTAATTCGAAGGCTTCCTGGGTCGTAGCGAGTTTTGAGAAGCTCTTTATGTTTCCAGGTTAGTGATCTAGCTTGAGGATAGGCTTGCTTCAAAAGACAAAAAAAGGAAAAGGAAATAAATTGGTGGTTCCTCACCGAGACTCGCATGAATGAAGGTCGGGCGATCCGTAGGAAGTTTTGAGAGAACTTCATCCAGCCCCTCGGCCACAAAGCGGTTCAATCAATCGCGCAAATCATTGGTCCGCCAACCTTTGATCAGTTCATACCGATCGGATGCGCCCAATTGCCAGTCAAAGAGACCCCTATAGAAGTCCCCATTCGAAAGAAAAGGGCCTCCGACTACTTGAAAGCTTGGTGAACCTACACACACATTGCCATCAGCGTTAAAGGCCAAACCTCCAAAAGCCTTAACAGTTTCGGGAAAATTGTAATCTTGGAAGGCCTTGACAACTTCTGCGAATTGAGCAAGAATGGCATGTTGCTTATGAGAAGGAAGAGTGTGGAAGTCATCACCAAAGTTCGTTCCAGATATGTATTCTTCAAGAACCCATGCCTCTCCGCTTGGCTCTTCCTTGCCGCTACTCCAGCCGTAGACTTGGGGAACGATGGTATGTAGGGCTGAGTCTGCCATAGCTGACCGAGCAACCGTCATCGCGGCGACTATGTTCTCAGCACGCACGCCCTCATTGAAAGTGTCAAACGGCTTAAAGAATCGAATAATTAAACGAGTGGTATCTTTGGGTATTTCCACAGTTCCTGGTTTGCGAGAGCCATGGTGAGCTTCTCTCGTAGGTTCTGAAAGAACGACTTTATAGACGAAGTTGCTTCGGCTATAACCGAGGTGGCTTATGTTAGAGACCTGTAGTGATCAGTCAGATTATCCAAAGGCCCTGCAGAAAGATGGATAGTCACCTCCACAGCCAGCTCGCGCTGTAGGATTTCCCTAGCAAGGGCCTGGTGGCTAACAGTGGTCGGAGTAGTCATGGTAATTCGTGGTCCTAGATAAGATAGGCAATGGTAAAGAGTCGATGTACAGCCAATTAATCTTGCACTAAATTTAACTATTCCTAGAATCAAACAAAAGGAATCCCAAGATCAGCAAAAGAACAAGCATGAACTAATTGTGTTGCCTAGGGCTAGGCTATGCCAGTCACCTGTAGACTATCACAACAAAGGAAGATCTAAGCCCTGGAAACAAGGAATCATTGACCACTAGCTCTCCAGATCCCAACTGTGGTGTTCCTCCCAGTATTGTATTGGTCGGAATTCCCGGTACATGTGTTCATTGGAGGATCTTAGTCTAGGGGATGTTCCAGGACCCATGTGTTATGAAGTTTTAGAGAAGGAAGCACTGAATATAGAATTATTTCAATCCCACCGGACTGAAACACCAATTGGCACTTTTTGTCATGCCTTAGACCTCGGGCGACTATCCCAACATATTAGCTTATAAGCAAAGCATTTAGTCATACAAGTAGATGACTGTTATAGATCAAGCTAGTGAGCTTCTCTTAGCTTCGCCCGTGAGGGCTACTGGACCCCAGCACCACGTTGAGGTGCAAGCTCTTCGCTGGGGTTTCTTGCGAAAGTAGATGGCAACAGATGACAATAGATGGCATACTCCTCGTGATGGACTACGACTTGTACCCGCAAATGCGGGCTGCGTCATTACCCTTCAATAAGGAACCGTCTCTTGGAGGGTCTGGATGATCGCGCCCCTCCCAGGTGACCAGAGCCAGGGAAGAAAAGAAAAGAAAAAGATGGGACTAAACGAGTGACGAACGAGAAAGGAACGAGAGAAATGAGTGACAGATCACAAATAGAACCAAAGGAATGACCGAAAGTGAAAGGAAAGTGACTAAACAAATGAGCGCAATATGTTGAAACGAGTGGGTAGGAGGGGCATAAGGAGCGGACGGATGAGGAGAAGCAGGAACATGGAAGGAGGCCACCGCTAAAAAGGCCAGGTTAACCCCGACGCTTTCTAATATGCTGTGGCTCCTCCATGGTTGCGGCCTTCTCATCCTCTTCAATATTGTCCAACACCTGTCGGAGAAGCTTCCGGGCGTCTTCGATAGCCTCGATGGCCTTACTACCACCCTTGGATCGTAGCTTTGCTATATCTTCCAGAATGCCTTCATAGGCATGAAGACCCTCCTCTTCAAGCATCGAAGGCCCATAACTTGTCGAAGATAGATGTACAACCGATTTTGAGGACCCGGAAGCCGTCCTCTTACTCGGCGACACCGATCGTATCTTGCCAGGCGACATGTTGATGAGCCCTCCTTGACTGAAGGTATCGCTGGGATCCTTGGGGGATGGCAATTGATGGGGACTGGACTTATGATGGACCTTCGTCCGGTCATGAGTTCTAAGCAGGTCTGCACTGTCTCCATAGAAATGCATCAGTCGTTCCAAGATCTCACGGTTTGCCGTCTGGTCTTCGGGCAATATTTGGGGCAGCCTCCCAATATCCCGGTCAATAGCCTCGCGCAGTGCACGCGGGTTGCCGGCAATTTTGGGATCCCTCCCCAACCTCTGCATGGCAGACCGTATTGCGTTCCGTGTAGATAGCGATTGCCAGCCGTGCCATAGGGACATCGACATCCAGACCCTTACTGCGTAAGTAATTGACACAACCAACAAGAGTTTCGGTGTCATCACCGGCTCCATATTGGCCGTCGACGCGAGTAAGGTTGTCGTGGAAAGTGCCGACCCGGTCTGGTAGGCTCAGGTTGGATGCGTCCGCCGCTTTTCGTAGGCAATTCCATAATCGACCCGCATAATCCCCAACGCGGCAAAGGAACTCTAGCTGTACTGGATCGCCGTGGCTGGCCGATATGGCCGGACTCGAACCTCCGGAATCTGGCTGAGGGGTTGGGCGGAGATGCTCAAGGAGCCTCTTCACTTGTACCTCATCTAGATCGCAAGATCGTCCTTCGTACTCGGCGTCCCCCAGGAGTGTCAAAATCACATCTAGGGAGGAAACTGAAGCCGGCGGTGATCCAGAGCTGCTCTCCGCAGGTGTTGGAGTATCACCTAGAATATCGCCAGCCGAGATCATTGATTAAAAGGGCTTCTTACCTTTCATTAAGTCTTCATAACGGCCTCCGGGGGGCGAGGAGGCTCTGGATGGACAATGTGAGGAGGGAGGGAAGGGATCTGACCTGTGAAGTTTGTTATCAAAGTGACTTGTCATTAGGAACGTTGTATATACCTCGCAGAAAGCTTTATTGGCCTTCAAAAGAAAGCCGGGGCGGAGGGGAACAGAAAAGAAAAAGTCGCCTTATACGCCAAACCAACCGCCGAAAACAAAGTACCAAGGAGTTTGAGCAAAGGAAGGGAGAAGGGACTCGCTCAAGCGGCAGGCATTGTTGTATATATGCATTGGTTTATGGCTATTGTTGCTGCTACTTTATGTAAAGTCGGAAAGTGCGACGCTGGAAGTATGCAAATTCATATTTTGCCAATAACAAGACCCATATTGACTTAAAATAGCATATATATATCAAATTTGGCTTCACAATTCTTTCTTGTGGGAAGTACATGAAAGCAGAAGACATAAGCCGGGCCTATGGCAGTGAGTTGGCAGCTTTTGGAAACTTTAGCTATATAGGTCGAAATGATGTTACCTGTTCGCCATACTCCACATTACAGGCACAGGCTTCGAGGAACCAGGCGAATGTCATATAGGAGGCTGTTGGGAATAAGGTGTTCAAGGCACGCCAGCTGGTTGTTTTCGTTGAGTGGTGTTGTCGGAGGCCCTACCGACCTTCATCTTGGAAGAGTGTTTGGTCAGAATAGTCAGTGAAGCATCCATTCATCCCGCTATCCTCATGTTCCCAGACCTTTGCCGTACCAGCAAGCCAACTTTCTATCCTCTCCTTGAGTAACATTCGCTCCCATCTTTCTATTCTCTTCTGGTACATCTCTTTGATAACTTGTCGATGCAAGACACGAGCTGTCCTCCCTGGCAATATGTTTCCAAACAGCATGTCACTGAAGCACCTGTTCATCTTGGTAAAGAAATCTTCGATACTATCAAACTTAGAAGAAATCCGAAAGTGTGGGACGTCACAAATACAAGGATGGTTGTTTTCAGAGTCTTGCTTGAAGAGATGTACACCTGCACCGTCCCCTATTGTCCAGCGTAGGATCCCATCCAACTCGGTTGGGTACGATACCTTCAATGATTGGACTTGCTATAGTCGGCCGAATTGGAGATATATAAGCTGGTGATCGTAGAACTCGTGATTATACCATGGTGAATCTGTGATGCTCTTCAACCCCTTGCCCCCCTCTTGCCACCTGAAATTCATATTACTCAAGAACTGTACATGCATGCTTTTCATTGATGGTGCATGTATTAGAATATTGATAAGGTTCTGGACATTGTTCCACAAGCGTATCAAATCACCAGGGGACGCAGGATTCGGCGGGTGAATTCCGATGTGTATAGGCACTCTGTGGAACGGAAGTTTATCAAAGCCGCGTTGAATAGCGTCTTCTTTCTCTTCGATTAGCCAGGATATGTGTAAATCAGGGATTTTGAAAGCAAGCCATTGTTGTTTCTGTGGGTTAAGGCGAATCGAGACGCTTATATGGGAGTACAAGTGATGTGATATTTCCTCGTATAACACCTTGCTGGTGCGAAGAATAGCAAGACGTGTTCGCCTCCGTTTAAATACTGGGGGGCCTTTCAACGGGTGGATGATATGCCTTGGGAACAGCCAGTCCCATATACAGAGCCGCAGCTCAGGTGGTAGGATTGCAAAATTTCCCAGTCCAGCGTCGGTAGAAGACATGGTCAATAACTGCTAGAATGAATATAAAGGTAACCAACAACTTGGGGTCGTACAGATGGATATTAATCCAGTCAAGAGCATGACTCACTTGCTTGCAACCTGGGTGACGTGCAAATGCTGTCAAAAAAAAAATAGTTCTTTCTAGTGTCGATTATATTCTAGATTTTAGGCAGTAACACAATAAATATATTCTTATCGTGTCCAACTCGATATAGGATTACACCGCGAGATTATTGTCCCACTTAATGAGTTGCATTTAACTTATGCTGGAAAAGGTGGGCCTATGGATATCTTTCGCTTCTTGATCTTGATATAGGCTTGCTCCTGTTCTTCCATGTGATCTTATGAATGTTCCTTCTAATCACCGTATTCTTTCGTTGTATAAATAGATTTCATCTTTTGCTTGTCTGCTTAGGACACCATTTATGAACAGGGACAGGTAACCTCTCTGAACATACTGCGGTGTTGTATGCATCTACCAGACATCTCCACCTGAAGCTGACACCTGCTCTTACTCTATTTTGAGGTATTGCTTTGGGGAGTTCCAAGTAGTCGGTTTTATGAGCTAAAACAAAACATAGCTTAGAGCCTAATCATGTCCAGAGCTTAAGTAAAAAGTGGTACATATTCATAATGTATAGGAACAAAAAAAAAAAACCTACATATCTCGCTACAGTCACGCCAAGCGTGCCGATTCACCAACAACTGATCGTTTTGTCAATATCGCTGAGTGTTCATTTAATTGCTCCCAAGCATGTGCATCACGACATGCCTGTCGACTTAATCGAACCGCCCGCTTCGTACGCATTCTCATCTCTGTTTCGTAGACATCAAGTGCAGCCTGTTGGCCAGTTTGTCCGGAGTAAATTTGAGAAATGGCATCCCCTAGATGGAATGCATCCAGGAGTCCATGATTTGCAGCTTCACCACGATCTAGTCATCGTCAGCATCCTTTCTTTATTCGGACAGATATGCGCAACTTACACATTGTCATAGCATGTGCGGCATCTCCAGCCAGCGTCACACGGCCATTCTTGTTATCCCAATCCAGGCATTCCCAGTCAGCCAATTTGATCTCTAGTACGGGGGTCCCCTCCGGTATCTTTTGTACTGCGTTTCTTAAAACGGGTACAAAGCCTTCAGATCGGCGCTTCATGTTGGCCAGACGGCCTTCATCAGTATCAGCTACCTCATCAGCTGAGGTATGTACCGGCCAGGACATGCAGATCTGTGCTCGATACCTTTCACGCTCTGTCCCAGCTGTTCCATTCACGAGCGGAGTCTCCAGCATAGAAAACCAGAAGAACGCCCCGGTCTCAGGATGACATCCTTGAAACAGAAGCGGGTCCATAGACCGAAGCGGTTTGATGTCCTCCGGGGAGAGATCCACAGCTACTCCTGTAAATCGGATTGGTAGCAACACGTTACTATACGCATCAGGTCTCAACAGTTGTCTGATCGCTGACCGACTACCCTCAGCCCCAACCACCATTCGTCCTGTCACAGAGGATCCATCGCCGAACTCCAAGTTCACCTTTTCGGGTACAGTCTCTAGATCCACACCCACCACTCTTCGATTCCAGTGTACCCGATCTTCGATTCCGTAAAGCAGGGCCTTTCTCATTTTCTCCCGGTTTACGCGCCACCGTACAGACGGTGGGATCTTGAATTTCGGCTCTCCCGTGGCAAGATTGATGAAAAGAAAATTCCCATTGTCGTTCAGGGCAACGTCCGGATCGACCTGGACATCTTGAATTCGGGCTAGAACGTCTGCGGGGAGCATCTGCTGAAGATATTCCAGTGCCCAATGGAGGGTTATAGCCCAGCCTTGACCACGAGCATCGGGCGTGGGGTCTCGCTCATATATCTCAAAAGGTATTCCTTTCTATTCACTGTTAATATTATAATTCTACTTAAGACTCGCATGTTGAGGATCGGTGTATGGGTGGAGCAAAACCTTCTTTAAAGCCTGGCCGAGGGTTAAGCCGACAATGCCGGCGCCAACAATAAGAACAGGATCCATGATGTTGCGAATCTTTGAGATGTAGTCGAGGTGCAAGGCATGGTAAACGTGTTGTCTTTATTACTATTAATTTACTAGTTATGGCCATTCCCATTGACATCATTATCATCTTTGACTAGGACCCTTGGGCCCTTTGGGTCGGCTAAGTTAAGAAACGTTATCCGACGATCGGACCGTCGCATAGATAAGTGAACGAGATGCGGGGGTGGCTTTGGCTTCAACCTTCAACCTTCAACCTTCTGATTAGCGTTGACGTTGCCGTCGGAAACTGCCGATGATCGCCTCAGGAACGTTCAGCCGAATCAGTGTATAAATCATCGGTATATTCACACACTATCTGACCATACGCCAAACAAACATTAATCAACCAGAGAAGCAAAAATGACAGCAGCACACGAAGCCCTGAACCCTATCCACCCGTCTGTCCTGCCTCATTTGGATCCAGTCTTTGTCAAACTCTACAATGAAAATGTAGCCAACACCCCAAACAAGCCCATAGACTTGGCCATTCTCCGATCGAAATATTCTGTTCTGTACTCTTACGGTACTGGACCAGCCCCCGAGCCAGCTAGAATATATGACACAACTGTGCCAGGATATAATGGCGATTTGATTCCAGTGCGGGTATACGAACCTTCGTCTCCTGGGCCTTGGCCGGTGCATATTGATTTTCATGGCGGTGGTATGACATCCTTCCCTTCTCTTTAATCTTAAAGGGATAACCTAGCAGAAAACTAATGCCGACCCGCAGGCTGGGGCCTTGGTGACCTCGACACTGAAGCTCATATCTGCAAACATCTGTCCGTCAAAGCAGACGTTTGTGTAATTGACATTGGGTACCGGCTGGTCCCAGAACAGCCATTCCCCATTGGTATCCAAGACTCCTTTGCTGCCCTGCAATACATTCATTCCCAGGGCGGCTCCAAGTTCAACATTGACCCGACCCGCATCTCCCTCGGCGGCGTCTCAGCTGGAGGAAACATTGCCCTTATCGTTGCCCACCTTGCAAGGGATGCCAGCATTCCTCTGAATCTTGTCGCGGTGGGCACACCCGTCATCGACGATATCTCCAAGTACGCCTCCGCAAGCGAGTCGCCATACCCCTCTGTCCAACAGATGGAGCATGCGCCCACTCTCAACTGGGCCAGGTTGAAGTGGTTCGATAATCTCAAGTGGGAAAGCCTTTCCAGCGACGTGAGCTTGAGGAAGGAGCAACTGAATAAGATCGGTTGGTAT